TACAAGATCTTTTCAAGATATTTTAAAGATCTTGTCAAGATCCTGATAAGATCTTGCATTTCTTAACAGAGTTCTTAAAATTATAAACTTATAAAATCTTGCCAAGATCATGCCATGATCTTAACATGATCTTAACAAGATCTTAATAAGATCTTTGTCAAGATCTTAGTATGATCTTATCAAGATCTTTCCAAATCTTGTAATTAATTATCTTTGCAAGATCTTTCGTCATCAGAACTGACTTCATCACTTGGACTGGAGCCTGTAGAAGTCCCTGATTCAGTATCTGATTCACAACATTGGAAGGCAAAATGATTGCAAATATTGTTTTGGTGCAGTGAAGCAGTATCACAAACATACTCGTCAGAACTGCTTGAACTGCTCGGTTTGTTGTCATCTTCGTCGGAATTGCTTGAACTGCTTGGTTGGTTGCCTTTGTCGATATCCCTAACATCTTTTTCGGAATCCCTTTGACTGCTGGGTTCTTTTTCTTCAAAGACATCATGATTTTTTTGTCAGGGTAGGTTGAACTGATCAATTCTTTCTTTTTATGGCCATCACAAACATCTTCGTCTGAATCGCTTGAGCTGCTCAAGACATCACTTGAACAGCTCAGTTCTTTATCAGAAATATGCAAGTTCATGCTTTTTTGCCTAAGTAACTGTTTAATTAATTGCCCTATTTCACTATGACGTCACTGCTTGTTTATGTTGGGGATAGAATCACCAAATTCAATAGAAAATTCAACAAAATTTGCTCCTAGCGAAATAGTTTAATATAAAATGGCCTGGTTTTCAGATATAATATGTGTTAATATGCACTAAAAATATTCTGAGCATTTGCTGGTTATTCTACTTGTCTTCGTGGATTGATACGGGTTTTAGAACAATTTTCGGTGAATTTGCATTGATTTGACCCCGTCCGACGACCATGATCCTTTGCGTTTAAACCCAGGGGTGGGGGGTACTCTTGCCAGTTTAGGGTACGGATGTGCCGCTGAGCCCTCTGAACCCTGACCCTCAGTTCCAGAGTAAAATCGCTGAAATTCATACCCTGTTCCAGAGCAAGATCGCTGAAAACCATAACCTTTTCCGGTAGCGCGAAAATCGATACCCTGTTCCAGAGAGGAGAGAGCGTGATTTCGTATACCTTGTCCCAGAGCGAGCGCGATTTCATATACCCTGTTCCATACCCTGTTTGGCGGCACGTACCCGTATAGCGAATATAGGGGAGTACCCCCCCACCCCCGGGCGTTTAAACAATAGATTGTTTTGATGTGACGCTTTTGTGAAATAGGGCAATTCAAACTGTTCCTTCCTCTGCCTTTCATATTTTTGAATAATAAAAAATCACGAACTTTACTCTCGATTCTCCACTATTTATGTAATCGTTGGTCAGTGTTAGGCATTTCCCGCGCACATCCCAATCGCAGGAAACGTTTTGTACAATTTCTCGTGTGTGAGCCAATCAGAAAAGGGCATCAAATAACAAGAAAAATTTCATTGGTCTACAGAGTCACGTGTATTTTTCAAAGATTAAGAGTCCTCACGTGCTTGTTGTATTTCAAATAGTTTCAAGCGTCAAAGAAGGTTAACGGAAAAAAAACCGGAAAACTATCTCGCGACTATGACTTCAAGAACAGTTATAAACGAACAAAGGTAAGTTTTGTCTTCCCATTATTCCAAAATATAGTTCATACAACTTTTACGATTTAAGAAAGCGATATATTGATCTCTATGAGAATAACGCACMAACTTTGAAATTTAGACTTTGATCTTCCCTTCGAGAACGCCGCGCTTATTCTTTCAAAAATGTTGGACCGTATAGTGTGATCGTCCCTTCGATATGCCACGCTATTAAACTTAGAGTTCTTTCAAAGGTGTTGGATCTGATCTTCTCTTCGAGAATGCCGTGCTAACTTAGAGTTCTTACAAAAGTGTTGGATCGCATAGTGATCTTCTCTTCGATATGCCGCGCTAACTTGGAATTCTTTCAAAAGTGTTCAATCGTACGGTGATCTTCTCTTTGAGAATGCCGCGCTAAATTCAAAAGCTTGGAATTCTTTCAAAAGTGTTCAATCGTACGGTGATCTTCTCTTCGAGAATGCCGCGCTAAATTCAAAAGCTTGGAATTCTTTCAAAAGTGCTCAATCGTACGGTGATCTTCTCTTCGAGAATGCCGCGCTAACTTAGAATTCTTTCAAAGGTGTTGGATCTGATCTGATCGTCTCTTCGAGAATGCCGTTCTAACTTAGAATTCTTTCAAAGGTGTTGGATCGACCTGATCTTCTCTTCGAGAATGCCGTACTAACTTAGAATTCTTTCAAAAAAGTTGGATCGTATAATGATCTTCTCTTCGAGAATGCCGCGCTTATTCTTTCAAAAGTGTTGGACCGTATAGTGTGATCGTCCCTTCGATATGCCGCGCTAACTTTCAAAAGTGTTGGATCGTATAATGATCTTCTCTTCGAGAATGCCGCGCTAACTTAGAATTCTTTTAAAGTGTTGGATCGTATAGTGATCTTCTCTTCGAGATGCCATCCTAACTTAGATTTTTTTTCTTCAAAACACGTGTTGGATCTGAATTTCTTTTGGAGAATGCCGCGCTAAATTTCAAAAACCCTAATTAATCAGTACTTGATGGCCAAACTTTATTTTCACTGGTTTGAGATTTAACGAGTTATTAGAAAATATAAGCTATTTTGTGATTTGATAAAAAAACCTAGCCTTAACATACTTGTGCAGATAAAAATGTAAATTTGTATCAGCGCAATATAAGTGTACTTTAGTTARGGTTACTGGAGACCTTCAGGGGTATGTTTGTCTTAAACTCTCTCTACGCAACACGTTCAACAAGACCCCCTAATACTATGTATCGTTTAAAAGGTCGTTTTGTGATTTTCTAATTTGAAACAATGCTGGAGCCTTAAACACAAATCGGGCACGTTTCGTAGAGGTGAATTAATGGCATTAGCGTTAGCGTGTATAGCCAAAAGAACCTCACTATGTTAATAAGCAAAAGATAATATGCAAAAGGGTATGTGCGATTTTTGATATTTTTCGTCTTTTATGCGGTAAAACATTAACCGGCATTGAAATTTTTCGACGTTCCAACTTTAAAATTTGATAACTTTTTAAAGAAGCAAAATATCAAAAATCGCACACACCCTTTTGTAGTTTATCTTTTGCTTATTCACATGGTGAAACTCTTTTGGCTATATGCGCCAAATCGATGTCCAATAGTTCACCTCTATTGAACGTGCCCGATTTGTGTTTAAGGCTCCAGCATTGTTTCAAATTAAAAATTCTTTTTTAAATAATATCATTTTCTGAATCATTAGTATATGACCTTTAAAACGATATATAGTTTTATGGGGTTTTATTTAAAGTGTTGCGTAGAGAGTCTTAAATGAAACATATCCCTGAAGGTCTCCAGTAACCTTAATAATATTTCCATGGCTTTGAAATACAGGCTGACTCAGATCAATCTAAGAATTCGAAAATGAAGCATTCGCTTCAATTTTTCTAAGGCAATACTGTAATTCTTAAGAAATTATTTCCTTTGCAATATTGATACAAGAATAAGGTTTATGTAACTCAAAAATAAAATTAAAAAATATTTTTCTGAAATAGAACCTAATCATTCAGAAAACAAACTAATTTTCTTTTTTTTCTGTTTTAGAGGTCACCTGCATGCCAATTATGGCAGAGACAAAGTTCAGAGAAGCAACAAATTGTAAATTGTCAGGAAATTGTCAGGGAAAATGAGTACACTTACAATTATTCAGGGTGTTCTATTCAATTTTGTGCTATATCCACTCAATTCCTCAATTATGAAATGAAAGAGTTAGTTDCTAGTTAATTTTTCACTATCAAATGAGAAGGTCACTTCTATTAACTATTTCAATAGTCATTGTCGTAACAAATCTTTATAAACTGTACTGTATCTGTCATTATACAGTTATGATAAATTTGATCATAGTTTTAATAGCAAATTAAAATTAGAATCAAAATGGTGGTAACCATGCTTTAATCAAGATTCACATTTTGCATTTTCGACTTTTCATTTCTTGTTTGTTTAGCTCAATATGACTCACACATTACTTCAAAGTGTTTAAAACATTTCTTCTTCCTGTGTTTAAAACATTTAAGCAATGTGTATGGAATATTGTTGAACATAGAATATTGTCAGTAGAGATTTGCATGAAATTTAAGTTTAATCCAAGATAGCTTTTAAATTTTCATGTACTTTATCAATATTTGATTCATATGTTTTCAATAAAGTTTACATAATTATAATAAAGCCTTACAAGTTTCATCATTATCTGAAATCAGAAATCATGTTTGCAAGCCATTAGAACTTGTTATAACCTCCTGCAGAARACCCTGAAAGATCTTTAAAATATCCTGTATATCCTGAAAAGAGCCTGTAACATCTAGGCATGGCTATGAAAGAAGACTTTGTTCAAGATCCTGTAAGATCTTGCCATGGCCATAAAAGATCTTGTCCAAGATCTTATAAGATCTTGCCATGGCCATAAAAGATCTTGTCCAAGATCTTATAAGATCTTGCCATGATTAAATAAGATCTTGCCATAACAATGAAAGATCTTGTCCAACTTCCTGTAAGATCTTGCCAT